TGCAATACGTGCTACCAAACTTAAGAATTTTTCTTCCAGTTCCAACAGTAACCGACAGAAGGACCTCCATGTATTACCCATGTTGCTGCTGTAGCATTGCTGATAATAGGCAAACAGTCCCAGATGAACTATTTTGTGTTCATATGGGTGGTAATAACTAGCCAAGTGTTGAGGGATTAGGTGGAATAATGCCATTGAACTATTAAGGGCTACTTACAATTTCATACATGCCAATTGCTGTTCCTTTTGCCACACTACCAGTGTGCATATTCAATAAGCAGACACATGTGTTGCACTAAAGGGCTTTGTGCTGACATGTTCTGTTAAGGGGTTGAGATAAGGACAATACACATCTGATGTGGTATCTTATATTGTCAGTAGTTCTGCCTTCACACTAGCTTGGGGCTGCACAGATGTCAGTGGCAGAGTGGTGGACCTAAGCCCCAGGTTTGTCCGTTCCCTGGAAGAGCCACATCAGGCCTATGCAATGGGCATATCATGCAACAAAATGTAACATTCCATGTGTCAGGTACCCAAATGGCAACCCGAACAGAACGATGCAGTTGAGTGTGGCTGGATGGCTCGGAGGCAGAGCAATCCTAAGGGGTTGGAGTGTTACAGAATCTGTGTTAGAGAAACCCCTCCTGCAGGCAGGGCAGAATGTGGGAAGGGCTTTTCCTCCTGCTGACACCAGTGGAATATGAAATAGTATTCAGGGTGCACGGTAAGCTGCGGTTACCGATCCTGTGCGTATGCCGCTGGGCTCCCAAATGTGATGATGTGTGATGCCCAACTGCCAGATTGCAACTGAACTTGCAGGTTTGGACAGCAATTGGACTGCATTCCTCGTATGTAAAATTTCCCACCGGGATTAAAGATAGCCAGTCATGGCTGTATGTCATTTTCAGAAGAGAAGAATTTAAAGCGATCACATGGAGAACAAGTATCTAGTCTAAATATTTATCCTACTTTACCAGCTGAAATGCTAGAGTGGAAATGGCGTTTTCAAGCCAGGAATGTATGGCTGCATTAAAGGGCATCATTATTTTTTCACCTTCTTAGATGACAAAGAGCAAATTACACTGTTACTAGGACCATATGATGCTGATTTGCTGACATATGTTTTGAGCCGTCCCGAGATGCCGAGGCATGTGGTGATGGCATATAAAAGTTTTAAATAAATATAAAAGTATCAGCATCTTTTAAAATCTGCACGCTTTTCTGCTACTGATAACATTTTGCCAGAAGTTGCATTCCCCACCTATAGAAATGCTCCCCACCACTGCCGCTGCCAGGCCTTGTTTTCAGCTCTCAGGAAAACACACCCGCATAGTCAGAAGCACTGGGTGTCTCACTAGGCTGCCACATGTTGGCACCATATGCTCTTCTTCATTAGACAGGGATGATGGGGGTACAAATCACAGAAAGCCTCAGATATTTAATTTAGAGACTCCTTTGAGGCAGCAATGCCCCATGCCAGAAGCAGACGCTCACTGAAGGTAGACGGAACCAGGCATCAAAACTGACAAAACCAGCCGGGGCTTCCAGATGTGGGCTGTTCGTTCGTGTCTGGACTATAGAGCGGGTGACTGGCACAGTAATCCAGGGTGCCTGTCACATGCAAACCACATAGACTACCAAGGCTGGCTCAGAATAAGTTCCAGCCATGACGTGTTCACCTGAAAAATGAAAAGCATTGGGTAAGTGAAAGATCTCTGCCTGAGATCCTGGGCAGCTGCCGCCAGTCCAAGTAGATCAGACACTGGTTGCGGAAGGCAGCTGGAGGAGGACACTGAGTTGGAGAAGCCTGGAATGAAAAGAACAGACCTAGCTGAGACCTGTTCTGAACTGGTAGGAGGCAGCTTCCTATATTCCTAACGAGGTGGTTTTAGTTTCAAGAGCTACCTAAACACCAAAGATGCACTTGCCCAAAGACCTTACTCTGGGCATGGGGTGCCCACCTGCCTTCGATGAACTTGATGGCTACTAGGGAGAGATGCTGCAATGCTCAGATGCTGAGCCTGCAGTCTGTGGAAACATCTGGAAGTGGCAGGGAACCTCTTTCAGCCCAATGGCCAAATTCAATTTTGGAGGCAGAAGGCAAAAGGGATGGGGCCAAGCATACCTAAAATATCAGCATTATCACTTGAAAGCCAGTAACTAAGTATTAGGAGATACATGAACATGGGAGGAAAGCTGCTGTTTGCTATTTCCATGATGTGTCAGAGAATCACACTTGAGATATTCATTCCACTTGCTGATTTTTCAGGAAAACGTATTTCCTTTCTCCTATGAAGTGATTCTCTCTCCTACCCACCCACACCTGCTTTAGCTGTTTCATTAGCACCATACAAGAACATTTAAAAGTTGGATTAATGTAAACCTTGCATCCAGGAGTAGGGAGAACTAAAACAATGTTAAGACAGGAGAGAACCAGAGACACATTACTCTCAGTTTCAGACATGAGAAGCCAAATTTAAATATAGGTAAAGTAAAGGTAAAGGTTTCCCCTTGACATTAAGTCCAGTCATGCCTGACTCTAGGGGGTGGTGCTCATCTCCGTTTCCTGGCTGAGGGAGCCAGCGTTTGTCCACAGACAGTCTCCGTGGTCATGTGGCCGGCATGACTAAACACCGAAGTGCAGGAACACTGTTACCTGCCCACCGAAGGGGTACCTTTTCATCTACTTGCATTTGCATGCTTTTGAACTGCAAGGTTGGCAGGAGCTGGGATGGAGCAACGGGAACTCACCCAGTTGTGCAGATTCGAACTGGAGACCTTGCAATCTACCCCCCCAGCAGCACAGCGGCTTAAACCACTGCGCCACCTGCAGTCCCCTAAATTTAAATATAGGGCACAGCGATCCACTTTCAGCTATAATTGT